CGTACTTTAGGGTGGTCTTGTGTCGTCTTTTTTGTTTCGTTTTTTTTTCGGAGTAAGTCGGATGGTATCCTCCCATACGTTTTTTAAAATAATAAAGCAAATTTTACAAAATATATTTGAAAAAAGAAAAAAAAAATCTTTTCCGGATGGGTCAAGGTTAAGTCATTAAAGGTGATTTTGTTTCAATGTCACAGCACTTGGTCAAGAATCAGGGGTGGATTGTTACGATTTGAGTCAATACCTCAACAACCTCTTATACCAAAGAGGCGTACAAGGAAACCACCACAGTCATCTCCACAAAGTCCGTCCCTAGTCTACTTTCAACCAATGGCTACTAAGGAGGATATCGAGAACATCAATAAGACCATTGAGATGTTGTCTAACATAATGCAAACACTCACCACTAGAGTCAACACGGTAGAGCAAGACAATCAAAACAACACTGCCACTGCAATGGACAAGATTAAAGAACAGATGAGTAAGATCTCTGATGAGTTCACTTATGTGGAGCAACCTTTCACTTCTTCGTCCATAAGGGACAAACTTCCTGAGAAGTTTTCCACTACTGACATTCCCAAGTTCAAGCTTACTGATAATCCGATGTTCCACTTGAAGGCTTTTTCTGCGACAATGGCTCTTAAGGGATTAGATGTGACACTATTCCCTACTGTGTTCCCTCTTTCCTTGGAGCATGCCTGTCAACAGTGGTTCTACTCTCTGGAATCCAAACATGTTGCGACCTGGGGGGACGTTACTGAACGCTTTATCAACCGTTACAAGTGTAACATCCAAGCCAAGACTTCTGAACGTGAACTCTCCATTCTCAAATAGAAGGAGAATGAAGGCTTCACTACTTATCTAAGCAGGTGGAGAGAACCAGCTGCACTCTTGGTGGATCCTCCCAAGGAGAAAGAGATGGTTCGCTTGTTTATATCAAATTTGACTCATAAGTACAAGCAACACTTGAAGTTTCTCCCTTTGAATACCTTCGAAGTTGTGTACGATATTGGAATTAATATCGAAGATGAACTGATGAAGACTGCTGGTAGAAACAATAATAACAATAATACTTGGAAAAACAAGAAGAACGACACTCCTTTCTTCTTCGTCTTCCAAGCCCAATAATGCTACCAACAATGTCAATGTCAATGATGTGTTAGCTCTTAATGCTCCCCCTCAGAGATTCCAAAGGCAAAGGAAGGTTTACACACCTTTGGGAATGGCTTATGATGCTGCTTTTGATCGCTTGCATAGTTAAGGACTGATTATGCCAATTGGACCTTTTCCAGAACCTCGACCAGAGAACAAAACTACTAACTATGACCCCAATGCTCATTGCAAGTTTCATCAAGGAAAAGGTCATACTACTAAGACGTGTTTGAGGTTGAAGGATGCGATCCAAGACCTGATTGATGCTAATCAACTTCCTGTCCCTCCAGGGGGCAAGAAGCCTAATATTCAAACAGGTCCCCTTTCTGATGCTTTGGCTATCATGGATATGAAGTCTCTTTTGATCCGTCAATACTCATTCAACCTGTTAATGAACCTCTGCCGGAAATTGTATTTGTTTCAAACTGTGAAGAAGTGAATGGAATTTGGGATAGTGACGATGAAGACGTCTATCTCAAAGATATAGCCTGCTCGTCTCTCGGCACAAGTGAAAATGTTTGGGGAGACCTTGAGGTCAAGGTTCTCACCAGAAGTGGACGGTTGCAACAGCCTAGTCCACCTCCACCTCCACTGCCACAACCAATAGTTGATCCCATTGACCTTGTGAACAATGATGTGGTCAAACAATTACAAAAGACTAAGGTGGAAATGAATGTATGGAAGCTTTTGGCCACCTCTCACGAGCATCGAAAAGCTGTGATGAATGCTCTGGTGAAAATAGGAGTTGATAATGATATGCTCCTCAAGGACTGGTCAACTTTCTCACTACTGCATTGCCAAGTACCAGCAATCTGGTTTCTTTCTCTGACAAAGATCTGCCCCCGGAAGGGGACCAGCATAACAAGGCCTTACACCTCACTGTGGTGTATAGGCAGATAAATGTTCGTAGGAGCCTGGTTGATAATGGCTCTGCAATCAATGTATGCCCACTTTGCACTGCAAAGAAGTTGGGCATAAAAAATGAAGAATTGACTCCCTCTACTCAAGGGATTCGTGCTTACGATAATACTCGTTGTCGAGCCGTGGGTACTATCACGCTAAACATAACTATTGGAGCCATTGAGCGTCGCACCAAGTTTCAGGTGGTAGACATTAAGGCTTCTTTCAATTTGCTGTTAAGTCGTCCGTGGCTTCATGAGGAAAAGGCGATCCCATCGTCGTTGCACCAAAAGGTGAAAGCTATAGTTGGAGGGGTTCCAATTACCATTGATGCCTCCCCCATGCGCATTCAAGTTATCGATACTCCCATCGTCCATGTCGAAAATGACGAGGAAGATGAGGATCTCTGGGGGTTTTCGTTATATGATGTTCTCATGATCGAAGAAGAGGAGAAGTGTCACCTCGACTTTAACCCTTATTCAAATACCAATGTTCTCATGATCGAAGAAGAGGAGAAGTGTCACCTCGACTTTCCCTGGAATGACCCTCGGACTCAAAAATAAAATGTCTGAACTTTGGGGCCGTCCTGGTGCCCTTAAGAAGGATACCTTTGGCTTGGGTTTCAAGCCAACAAAAGAAGATGTGAAACAAGCTCTCATGAAAATGAAGGCTCGCAATAATGCTCGAATCATGAAGACGGAAATGGCCATGGACCCATATCAATTAACTCTCAATGGACAGTATATCAAAGAAGGGGAAAACTTCCCATGCTATGAATTCCCTAAGCCTTTTGTCCACGATGGGAAGCGTGAGCCAGGGTAAGAGATGTTCCTTGATTGTGACTTCATCGATGAAGGCAATTAGCTCTTCACAATTGAGAAACCAGCTAGTCTAAGCTCTGATGATATGGACATTAATCTTCTTTTTGGACTAGAAAAGAATGAACCTAAGCATGTTTGCAATGATGATTCCGAGCTCATTCAAGCTGTCATATCAAGCAAGGATTTTGACCCCTCTGAGTTAATCGTCCCGGCTGATAATGTTTCAAAGGGATGGCGCAAGACGGTGAAGATCACTACACCAAGTGGAGAGAAGTTGGAAGTGACCGCTGGCGAAGGTCCTATGTTTGATGAATCTGAGTCGTCTGGGTCCGAGTCTGAGTCTGAGTCTAAGTCTAAGTCTGTAGACGAGTTTTTAGGATCCAAAGCCAACCCCCTTTCTACTATAGAGTCTAATGCTTAGTCTCTTGTTGAGTCTCCTCTTTCTATCCCAAATAATTCCGGCGAGGTCGCAGCTGACCTTGCCCTCCTTGTTGTAATGACCAATGAATTCAATGAAATGAGTACCTTTGCTTACAATGCGTGTCATTCCTCTAACCCTGATCAATATTGCTTTGCTAATGATAAAAATGACAAAGAAATAATAAAAGCAATGGAAGAACACGAAAATAAAACAGCAATCATTGAAGATAAAGAAACAGTTAATATTTCCAATGATACGACCTCCTATCATTCATGGACGGCTACGCCGGATATAATCAAGTATTAATGGCCGAGGAAGACATGGAGAAAACCACATTCATCACACAATGGGGTACACATTGCTATACGGTAATGCCATTTGGGTTAAAAAACGCGGGTGCCACCTACCAAAGAGCAGCCACAACATTGTTACATGATATGATGCACAAAGAGGTGGAGGTCTATGTTGATGATATGATCGTCAAGTCAAAGGATCGCCCAGGCCACATCATTGCACTTCGCAAATTCTTTGAAAGACTCCGTAAGTACAGCATGAGATTAAATCCAGCAAAATGTGCATTCGGAGTTACGTTTGGAAAACTACTTGGACATGTGATCAGTTCTCGAGGGATTGAAATAGATCCCACAAAAATCAAAGCAATCATGGCCATGCAACCACCCAAGACTGAGAAAAAAATTTGAGGCTTCATTGGAAGGCTGCAATATATAAATAGGTTCATATCAAAACTCACGGTGATATGTGAACTTATATTCAAGAAGCTTAAGAAAAATGTTCCAGTCATATGGGATGATGATTGCCAAAAAGCTTTCGACAAAATCAAAGAGTACCTGGCAAACCCACCCGTGCTAGCGCCAGCAATGCCTGACTTTCCTCTTCGACTCTACCTTACAGTCACAAGAGAAACGATGGGGGCAATGCTAGCACAAGAGATCGAAATCAAGGAGAATTCAATTTACTATTTGAGCAAGAAGCTTCAAAGATATGAGACGCGATACACACCACTTGAATAGTTGTGTTTCGCACTCGTGTGGGCCGCACAGAAATTAAGACATTACATGCTCAATCATACAGTGCATGTCGTGTCCAAAATGGATCCTCTTAAGTATTTGTTCGAAAAGGCAACACTCAATGGCAGATTATCAAGGTGGATAGTCAACCTTGCTCAATTTGACTTGAAATTTGTACCACAAAAAGGCATCAAAGGTTCTGCGGTTTCTGACTTCTTAGCAAATTTTCCACTAGAAGAAGTTGAGAAAGAAGAACATGAGTATGATTTCCATGACGAAGATCTACTCATGACCGAAGATGATAGCTGGACGCTTTATTTTGATGGAGCTTCGAACCAAAAGGGTTGTGGTTTAGGGGTCTTTCTCGTATCACCCAATGAAGAGCATATCCCAATTTCCATGAAGCTCGACTTTGATGTCACCAACAATGCCGCTGAGTACGAGGCATGCATCTTGGGATTAGAAACAGTTGTGGACTTGGGAATTAAGAATCTCATAATCTACGGTGATTCCACACTAATCATTAACCAGATCTCCAAAGGATGGAAGGTGAGGAGTGAAAGTCTCGCTACATATCTAGCTCATCTTGAAACTCTCACGGAGCAACTAAATAAAGTAGAATATACGTACTTGCCTAGAGAAGAAAACCAGCTTGCCGACGCACTGGCTAAATTAGCATCAATGGTGCGAATTCCAATGGACACAATCAGAATGTCGTTGACCATAGAAAGAAGATATGAGCTGGCTTCTGTGCATGCACTTGTTGATGAACAAGAAGCACAAGAAGAAGATAAAGAGCCATGGTATACGAACATCCTTAACTACGTGACCAGGGGAGAATACCCTCCTAACACTGATAAAAGGGCACGCCGTTCTTTGAGGTTCCTGGCCTCACAATATGTGCTCATTATGGAAGAACTCCACAAGAGGACTGGACTAGGGAGAAATCTCTTATGCATAGCTAAGAAAGAAGCACACAAAACCATGGAAAACCTTCATGCTGGTATATGTGGAATGCATATGAATGCTAAGATGTTAGTCTAAAAGATTCAACGACAAGGTTATTATTGGACTACTGTGGAGAGAGATTGTCACAAATACGTCAAGAAATGTATGAAGTGTCAAGTCTACGCAAATTTATAGCACATTCCACCTTCGCTTCTCTACACATATACTTCTCCATGGCCTTTCTCCACTTGGGGTATCGACATCATTAGAAAGATAACGCCACCAGGACAAGGGAAAATGATTTCATCCTTGTAGCGATCGACTACTTCACCAAATGGGTCGAAGCTACCTCATATGCTAAGCTAACGGCAAAACATGTAGCTCAATTCATTGAGAAAAATATCATATGCCGCTATAGGGTGCCTTATGAGATGATCAGTGATAATGGGACGCATTTCCAAGCCGAGTGCACAGAACTATTAAAGAAATATCATATCAAGCATCACAGATCATCACCCTACAGGCCAAAAACAAATGGTGTGGTCGAATCGGCCAATAAGAATGTAAAAACTATCATCGAAAAGATGACGGAAAATTACAAGGATTGGCCAAGTAAATTACATTTCACCCTTTGGGGTTATCGAACCTCTGTTCGTACATCAACGGGGGTTACCCCTTTCTCTTTGGTCTATGGAGTTGAAGCTGTACAACCAATAAAGCTTAAAATACCTTCTCTCCGAATCTCGTTGGAAAGCCAAATAGATGAAATCGACTGGATTAGAGCAAGATATGATGAACTAGTCTTACTTGACGAAAATCGCTTGGCAGCTTTGCATCATGTCCAAACCTACCAACAGCGTATGGCGTGACATTTCAATAAAAAATTCAAGACTGGAACATCAACGAATGTGACTTGGTGCTTAAGGCACTTCGCAAAAATGTGTTGGATCGAAGAGGAAAATTTAGACTAAACTGGTCAGGTCTGTACATTGTTAAATCTATTTTGTCTGGCGGAGCGGCACAATTGGTAGACATGGACGGTAATAGTTTCCACAATGTCACCAACTTGGATCAACTCAAGAAATTTTATGCCTAGTTGCATGGGTTCATGACCCAATAGAACTATGTTTGGCCTGATTCCTTTTTAAGGATACGTAGGCAATCCCTCAAGGGGGCCCGGGTAATCATAATGTGGCTCTTTTCGGTTATGAGATGACCAAAACTAAATCCAAACTGATATCCAAATTTGTAAATTCTCCAATTCTATCCGATTGGAATCAAATAGTACACTCCAATCCGAATTAAAAATTCGGTTCTTTTGGTTTGATTTTGAAATTTTATCCAAATTACTTTTACCTAAACACTCCATAACATATTCATTAACAGAATTTGTTACGGTGTAGGCCCCATCGAGAGAGTAAATGAGATTAAATAGATGCTTATTAAAGTACAAAACTAAAACAGGAAAAAGGGTGGAATTGAAGGTGAAATAAGAGGAGAAGTTCAAAGTGTAGGTCCCACTAACTATTTCATGGACAAAAATCGTTAATTAGTAAAAAAAAAATTAAATTTTTTATTTCTTTGTTGGTGTTAAAATAAAATTTTAATTTCTAAGGGTAGTAAAAGAAACATTGAGGTTTTTTTTTATTTTTTTATTTTTTTGTTAAAGTCAAATTTTACAAATTACTAAATCAAACAAATAAAAGTCGAGATATTACCAATAAATCATTTACTTTTTTTTTAAAACTATTTATATATATGCCAATTGAAATATAACATTATATAAAACAAAAGAAGTAATTTTTTTAAAAAAAGGAATTTAAGCTAGAAGAGAAAATTAATAAAAAAAAATGTAGAAATGGGGACCATGTGAGGAGATCAAAGAGATATAAAAAGAAGGAAAAACTTCTAAGCAAGAAAATACTGCACTTAAAAAACGGTTAATCTAATTTAGAAATTTGATGTACTTTTAAAAAACGAAGGAAACATGTTTTAGAAAACCACACAACTCTACTTTTTTTTTTCAAATGTTACTTTTTATCAATCAAACCCACTTTCTAGTCTTGTTTTATTCTTTGATATGGCACATAAAATTTTATGTGCATTGTCAAAGGATGTTGACATCAACAACAAGTTTGACGTTGACACGTGTTAGACTGCCAGACTGGCAACTTCCCAACCACACATTTTACACAATATTATTTTCCATTATTTCATTGTGTCATTATTATATAAGTTATCATTTGATTTATTACCATACTTTGCTTACTTTTCATCATATATATAAGTGTTATCTTAGCTCTATATGCTTGCATTCTCTCACATATTTCTCTCTCTTTGCTTATAGTTTCATAAAGTATATAGTATAACTAGTATTCAGAAAGCATTTCCTTTAAGACAAATCAAGGTTATAAAGCTATGGTAACTTTCTTCGCCTTATTTTTCTTCGCATTGTTAAATTTCATGTTTTTATAGTTTATGATATATGTTTTCCCTTTTGTATATAACTTCAAGCAAGGATAAATATTCTTCATTTTTGTGCTATTGTCTCGATCTATGAATATTGATATTAGGTAATTTAAGATTAGTTTTTTTTTTTACTTAATTTGTTGTTCTTTGGTTGAAATTGGGTTTTTTTCCTCGTTTTTTTTATTTGCAACGATTATTATTAAAATCGCGATTCGAATCGTAGAATTGTACGAGTCTACAATCCAAATCCACCTAAACGATGTAAATTGACGGTGGAATCGCTATGTTGTAGAATCACTCATAGAATCGGTTAGAATCAGTGCAATCGGTACCGGTTCTATGATTCTATACTAATTCTGACGATTCTATTCTTCCAAAAAGTATGATTTTCCGAAAACCATAACTTTTGATTGCGAAGTCAGAATTGGGCTTATAATATATCATTGGAAAGATCTTGAGGTCTACTTTCCAATACACTTAATCCCATACCCGTATCAACTATATATTTTATGTTATAGCTTAAAGAGTGTAAGGGTGTCATAGTTGAGCGTAATTTTAGTCAATGATTATATATTATTCAATATAAAACATAATAAAGCTTATGAAACATCAATATAAATCATAATTTATTTATTAATAATAAATACAATTTCTACATAACTAACTAACATCAATAAATATTATATATACATAAAAAGAGTAATAATTATGATTTTCAATGTAACGAACATAGAAAATTAATCAAAATACTTTAAATTATATCATATGTTCAAATTAAGAAAATTAAACTTTTATTGGTTTACTAATTAAAAAAAAACATACATTGGGCTATTATTTAGTTATTTTGTATGGGGGTAAATAAGTAATTTTTTAATAATATTTACCGTCAAAATTTGTTTTAATTACATTTTTTCCATTGTTCTACTGCCTTAAACTTTGAATGTATTAAATGGTGGGATTTTTTTTAAGACGGATAATTAAAGAAAATTTGATAGTTGTATGGAATTAAAACTCAGGCGTTCCATTATGTAATGGATAATTTATTTGTCGTTCAATGAAAATCTATTCCTTTCTCCTCGCTTCATCTATTAAATCTATTCTTTAATTTATATTTAAGGAATAAAATTATCGTAGTAATTAATTAGGAGAAAATGGCATTTTAAGTGATTGTTTGTTATCTTAATATGTTATCCATTATATTATGTTACAAGAATACTTTATCAATTTTTTTACGAAAAATAAAGGTAAACAAGGCGTAAAACCATTAAGGGGATTTAGTTTTTTGTAAAGTTTAGACTTATTACATGCTATCCGTCCTATTTATCTTTTATAAGTCCTTTCCGTGATAACACGACCGTGAACATTATTGAGACCCCAACCATGATTATTTTTTCTGTGGGTAGTCATAAATAAAACATATTTTCAAAAGGTTATAAAAGATAAATATCCGAGTTTTATCATTGAAAAATTAAAATCATTAATGATTTGTGGCAAAATCACTTATTTTTATCAATCGTAAATTATGAGCAACAATTAAGGCAGTTATATTCTAAACAACTTTTATAAAGGTAATTAAAAAAAACTAAAACAAATTTTATTATCGATAACTAATTAAAGATAATAATATTGATGAAATGATGCATTGATAAGAAAGTCCAATCGTCGTGAATAAAACTGTTGAAATTCAATTTGATTTATTATTGTTTAAATTCTTGTTTTAAATATTGTATTTCATTTTTTATTATATATTTAATTTAATATTTTGTTTTAATCAACCACACCTCACTTCTATATTTTTTTTCAAAAAATTTATAAATCAGTTCAACACCATTAATTTTGTACTTAAACGCTGGAATTTGGATGGTGTAAGTGATTTCCCACATACTATTACATCTGTCCCAAACCTTGATGTTGTGCACAAGTTCCTAGAGTTTCTCGACAACGCTTTTATAAGCAGAAGGCTAAAAATCCAAAATCTAAGGCTCTATGTACCTCCAATACAAGGCTTAAGTCCAATTGGTTTTAAAGGATTAATAGTTGATGAGCTTGAAGTGGAGGTCATTGGCAATTTAAGACAAACGACGATTAAGTACTGTATGTCTGAGTTTGTTTTATCTTTCAACTCTCTGACTAAATTATATATTCAGGGTTGCAAACTACCTGATAATATATCTATCAATGAAATCAATCTTTCTGGATTGCGCGAACTTTCGATGAGTTATGTCATAATGAATCAGGAGGTTGTTGATAACTTGATAGCTAGCTGCACCAGAGTTGAGAAGTTGAGCTTCACTGATTTCCAAGGTTATGGATCACTTCAAATTTTACAACATCCTAACCTAAAACATCTTATACATATAAGTTACAACGGCATCCAAATACTTGAGATCAACTCAGAAAATCTTTTCACACTCTTTCATGCAAATTCTGGTGCTCATGGCAAGCTTTTGTTGTCGTCCTCATGTTGTCATACTTTAATAAATATAAAGCTAATTGGTAAGATTCTATCATATACCATTTCAATGTTTATATCCTTGTAGAACATTAATCTTTGGGACGCCTTAATTCTATGTGTCGATTTCAGGTTGTAACGTTGATGATGAATTGGGCTTCGGCATCTATCCAAGTTTATCATATTTAAAACTGTCAAAATGTTTGTTTACCAATTATTGGTTAAAACAACATCTCTCTAAACTATTAAGTCCCAATGTTTTGAAGATAGTCTATAGCTCTGGTTTAGAACATTATATACAGATCACATCAGACAGTCGACGAAGTTTAAAACTAAGTAAAACTGAGTTGGAACTTTCTTGTGAAAATCTGTACAACTTCACATTTTGCTCGCAATGGAACTTAACATCTCTTTCTTCTGAAACTGGAATACTACCTTCTAGCATCATCATTAAGCTCCATATTAATGACCCTTCAAATTCATGGAATGTAAATATAATCGGGTTGCTCAAGTAACTAAGGCATTATAAGTACTTATATATTGAGACGCCAATGATTAAGGTACATCCTATTTATGAATGATTCAATTATATGTGATCCTATTTGTACTATTATGAGCCTAACGTTATATTGCTTTCATTTGTTAAAGAGTGTCATAATTGGAAGACTAGAGAGGCAGAGATATGAGTCTCCACTTTGTGAAATTGACGAGTTGAAGGTAGCATGTGCTAATATTGTGAGCTGGCTTGATATTACCAGATGCATTGAAGCATGCTTTGGCTTTGTCCTCGTCTGAAGACTCTTCGCATTATGGAATTTTACTCTCCTCGCTTTTCTTCTAATGCACATCTAAGATTTAATTTTTTGCTCAAGGTATGTTAAGTTTTTCTTTTTTAATATTCTACGTTTGAAAAATCCATCACTCCATATCTGATATTCCCTCCCTTTTATAATGTTAATTAGTTCCATTTAGAATTTTTTTTTTTACTTTTAAAAATAAGAAGAAATTTTTATAAAATTTCTCTTTACATATAAGAGCAAACATAGTTAGTAACATGAGATCTTGTTTCATTCGTCTTGGTGAGTACTATTCATATTTACTTTTTATAAATTTTACTAGTATGAGAAGATATTTGCGAATAAAGATATGCATCAATATACGCAAATGGAAATAACATTATGAAACCAAGGGAGCTGTATTTTATACAATTCAGTACAAATACCATAAGATACCTATTCATCTTTCTAACACACACACACACACCGTATTACCTGTTCTATATTTATTCCATCACCATTCCTCATAGTAGTTGGTTGGAATTGAAAATTTTATAGTGGCAGTTTGAAATATGACTACTATAATATTTTAATGATTATGTAGTTCATAATTGACATATTTTCTCCAAGTAATTAATTAAATTACTTTGTTTTTGGAGTCATGAATGATTTATCTTTGAGATGACTTAAATTATATTTGTTGTCTATTATTTAGGGACGAAGTTAGTATATGACAATGTTATTCTTGGTGAAATTTCATCTCTTCAATTACTCTCCATTTGATTTATTTTTATTTGTTCCAGTTATTTTACAAGGAGCCAACTGATGAGTTACCTCAAACAACTTGTGGATGCTATACGTTTCAACATATCAATTGTTGGAGGCATTCGTTAAGGGATTTTGAGATTGTTGAGCAACAAGGATTCGAAGATGATGAAGGATGGGTGAAAAGATTTCTCGAAAAAGCTGTGATGGGAATCTAAATGGTGTTCCTATTAATATTGTGATGCCTCATTTCTTTACTAATGAGGGATGTCGATCTTGGTGTAGTAGTATTGTAGCTTACTGCATTGCCTGCAGTGTCCTCTATGCTAAATGTTTCTTGAAGTTAAGCTTTTGAGCTCCTTGAGTTCCATTCTGTAACATTATTCCTATGCTATGGAATGTGTTTCTTTAGTTTAGATAAAACTTGTTGCTTTTGTTGGGATTAAGAAACTTGTTTTTGTTTGGATTATGAAATTCATGCTTGTTAGTTCGTGAACATTGCATTTTTCTACTGATGTTTAACCTCCATAATAACTTTAATGGTTCAAGACTTTAAGCATCAACAACATCATTGATTTCCATAAAAAAATTTCTAATATAATCACAAATTCACAGCTTCTTCTTTATTCCTATCCAACTTTAGAAACGTGTTTTCTTTCTTACCAGATTTTATGCTGATATTATTTTTTGTTGTTTGTGAAATTTTTAATGTTGTGATTTGTTTCCGAAAACGTCAAAATTGAGGTCCTTTTCCCATGACCATACACAATAAATTGGTCTATATTAACCCATAATTGAAGTGATTTATGATAAAATGTCAAAAAAGTCTTAGGCATGAAGGTAGAAGAAGACATATATAATATCACATTCTGAAGTCTAAAGGGGTAGTAGTATATAGATAAGATTTTAAATCCTCCACATGTTTGGTGTTCATAATGGCAATGAGAGAAACCGTGGTGATGGGGCAATGGTGGATGGTTGTTTGAGATTAATGTAAAGTGTCATTTACAATATTTATGGTTTCACGACCTTAGGTTTACTAGGGAGTTTCTCGCGCGCAATGCTAGTTGGAGTTTTATTCATTTGTAAATGTTTACTCTGTTTTTACCAATGTGGGGTATTTTATTTTAGTTTTTAAAAACTAATGTTTTTGTAAATATGTATTTATGAATGAGAAGTTTAGATAATAATGGTGGTTGAATTGCGAAGATTGTGTCTAGGAAAAAAAATACAAATTTTAGAAATCAACCACAATTGAGACACGATGTAGTATTAAGAGATTTCTTAGCTTGTTTTGATAAGAAGTAAAGTTGTTTTATGTAGATAGTTGTAATTAATAGTGACATTCTAAGAAAAGAATTTAGTCCTTTTTTGAATCATTATGATGAGGGGAGCCCAATCATCTATTCTATTCTCCAATCTCTCAAAAAGCTAGAAGCTAGAAGCTTATTCTTTCTATAAATAGGGTCGATTTTCCCCGTTTTGAATCATCAACAATCATCTTCTATTCTCCTATCTCTCAAAAAGCTAGAAGCTTATTTTTTCTCCCTCTTTCTAAGCCTTGCCTTTTCAAATACAATATTCCTCCATCACGAGACTTAGACACACCTAGCCAAGCTTGAATTTGCCTTCGCCATGACGTGAAAGGTTGATAATTTCTGAGGATTTGATCCCAAATCCCTATTTAAATTAATTATTTGATTTAACATTTTTATTGAAGTTACTAACGTATATATTGTTTTGATAGAAAGAGATACGAGGCAGCAAAGTGAGTAATTTCATTACTATATATCTTTCGAAAGCATGCTTAGGTTTTATTAATTCCTATTATCATGTTAAGATATCTTTTATTGTTTTCTAGTATCATAATTATGTTGCTTCCTATTTCTTGTATCATGTATGTCTAGAGTATCATGTTAAAGATAAAGCTTTGATCTTTATTGTTTAGTGACATGCTAGGATTTGTTATTAACCATGTTAGTATCATGCCTAGGATCTTGCTAAAATTATGATTTGATGAGATTGAGATTATTATGATGATGATTGTTTTTGTTATATGTTGCTTGATATTATTGTTATTGCTTGATCAAGCCATCTCTTGCAGGTTTAAACAGAATTTCTACTTGAAATCATGCTTAATAATATGATTAATAATTTTATTTAGGCTAATATGATTTTAATTCAAGTGATCGCCTATAGATTTATTTTTGCATTAATATTCAACCAACATAGATTAAACTGGTTTAGGGTTAATATACTGATTGTATGTTTGTCAAAAAGCGCACATGAGTATGCGAAGAATAAAGTAGAAGTCTATTTAGGGAAGGTTCAATTTCTTTTAGATTGGATTTATACCTTCATCCCCGAATATCCAGTAATGGTTCAGGACCACTATGGAGCCATGGAGGTAGCGATCTCTTGGATCATGAAAGGGTGTAACCTTCACTCTGTGAACGGTTTATAAGTTCCTAAAACTTGTTGACGACTCTTGTGCTCTAGCTTAATTCTCTTTGGACGCCACCATGCTTAAGTGTATTATCACAGTGGGGCTAAAGTGTGGATGTTTGAAATAATCCCTACAAAATCCCACTAATTAAATTAAATAAAACGAAGTACAAAATTAAAAATTCAAGAAACGGAAAAAGATATACCTTTTTTAGCCCGTGCATGATGGATTCTCTCTTGAGTGTTTCTTCCGAAGACGATACCATACCACTATCCTTCATGAACTAACTTTACAAAAATTCAATTAATTAAGGAAAGAATTAAAAAAATTTACTCAAAACCAAAACATATAAAAAAATTGCAGAGTCGTTTTCATCACAACCCTTCAAATCCCTAATCCTCAAATCTCATGCATTTGAGTTTTTTTTTTAAACCACTAAAAAATGCATTTAGGTTTTTTTTTTTAACCAGTAACTTCCATTCCACTACTTTATTTTTTTGTTTTTTTTTTTAAAATAAATGTCTTTTTTTCAAGAGATTGCAATAACTAATAATACCAATTTATTTTTTCTTAAACACTACTAACATTTCACTTTGTGTTATTTTCTTTCATGTATAATATGTGTCGTGTATTAGCACGGCTTGCAAGATATACAATTCATTTATCAATAATTCACTATAGAACTCAAAATCTCCAACCCTTCAATTCAAACAACTTCCACTTCTCTAATCATCAAAACAAAAATATGTACAACACGCTTTTTGCGTAACTGGCCTCATCGAATAGTTGCTTGCAAAAGAATAAAGTAACCCCTCCTATAACACTGATGGAATAACTCCTATGACACTAACCGAGTAATCGGCCCCTATAACACTGAACGAGTAACTCTACAGCTTTGTCAAAGTAACCTCCATAATAGCTTGATACATTTGCGTGGCCACCCACATATAAAAGTAAAGTTTTGTTCTTTTGAGTTTATGAACAGAATAGAGCACATCATATTGCAAAAGAGTAGAGCATGTGACAGTAGAGTAGAGTAGGGATCAACAAAATATATCAGATTTTAGCAGAGTAGAGCCAGAACAGACCATAAATATTTCAAAATAACAGGGCCTAAGTTACTACATCTAAATCAACTTCCCGTATTAGAATTATATTTTTTCTTATATTATATAATTAAAATCTTTCTAATATATTATATATCCCGTGCATTTACACACTAGTCTTTTATATAATTTAACAGTTGTTTTTTCAACATTTAACCACAACTCTCCAAAACACCAATGCTTCAATTTGGTGCAATTTCATTTTCTTTTTTTTTCTTTTTTTTTTTTGTGTGTAAAATAACTTTCCTATCTCCAAATTAAAGAATCCATAACTTATTTATAACTTCCACTAAAAAATGCATTTAGGTTTTTTTTTAAACCTCTCAAAAAAACAAGGGAATTTAGTTTTTTTTTAACCGGTAGCTACCATTTCAATAAAAACCAAAAAAAATATATCAATAACTACCCAACCAACTTTTTTTATTTATTTTTTTTTTTGCATTTTTTCAACGGATTGCAATAACTAATAACAATTCATTTTTTCTTAAACACTACTAACATTTCACTTTGTGTTATTTTCTTTCGTGTATAATATGTGTCGTGTATTAGCACGGCTACACGGATATACAATGACTTTATCAACAATTCACCATAGAACTCAAAATCTCCAACCCTTCAATTCAAACAACTTCCACTTCTCTAATCATCAAAACAAAAATATGTATAGCACGCTTTTTGCGTAACTGTCCTCATCGAATAGTTGCTTGCAAAAGAAAATAACTCATATGACACTAACTGATTAACCTCTATAGCTTTGACAAAGTAACCCCCGTAATAGCTTGACACATTTGCGTGGTCACCCACATGTAAGAGTAAGGTTTTTTTCTTTTGAGTTGATCAGCAAAATAGAGCACATCATATTGCAAAAGAGTAGAGCAGGTGACAGTAGAGTAAAGCAGGGCTCAACGGAGTATATTAGATTTTAGCAGAGTAGAGCCAGAGCAGACCATAAATAGTTCAAAATAACGGGTTCTAAGTTACTACATCTAAATCAACTTCCAGTAATTAAAATATATTTTTTCTTATATTGTATAATTAAAATCTTTATAATATTATATATTCCATGCATTTTACATGGGTACACTCTAGTAATCCCTAATTGGAGAAGTGTTTGAATACCTTGCTTTAGAAATCAAGGTAATGCAACTACACATGGTAGTTGTGTTAGGGTCTAATCTAAATAGCTTTGTTAGAGTTAAGTTGAGTGGATGTTTAGTATTCACTTTGATTA